ACTGATATATTTATTAAAAAGCAACAACTTTAACGTTTAAAACTTCATGCTGGAGAAAGTTTTTAAAAGTGATATAAAAATGTTCAATCATGGTAGAGGCTTTGATTGTATTCTGTTAGGCAACTCTTAAAGTTCTCAACAATCTACTTCATTTATGCCAATTATCATTGTAATTCCAAGAGCTACTGTAGGGAGGCCAAAGCAAAGACTACTCAATTCCAGCAAGAGTCATTAGGAAATGTAGCCAACGGCAGTAAGTACTAGAATAATTAAAGCAGTTATAACCATCATTTCTCTGTGGGAGAAGCTACAGTAACCCTTTGAAAGATATTTCTGGAGGCATAGAAAATGGAAGCCTAAATTCATGCAAATGAAAACAATTAATTGAGGAAGAATGCTGAAAGTTTCAGTGAGCATTCACTGCAGCTGTGATGACAGTCACAACAACAATAACAACAATACTTTAGAGTTGTAGTCTGAATCTGTGATGGCAATGGTCTGGAGATGGTCTGAAAACCCTATGGTAAATGTGAAGGCCTAGCATGAACTCTTAAATACTGGCCTTTGGGTCCTAGCAGTTCAATGTGACCGGTTCAATGTGAGAAAAATGACTCTATGAAATCAAGAAATTGATCTTTTGACATAAGGTTTAAGACTGGCCCTCATCAAACCTATTGTGATGATCTGCCTGACATGGAACACATTAGAACAAACAATTTTCTTTCCTGTTCTGATGCCGCAGCAAGGTGAAATACATTGGAATAAATGAGAAATACCCAAACCCCACCTGCTAGAAATGTATGCAGGTGTCATTGATCATTAATATAAGCAAAACAATGAACATACATAAAATGGACTGATCACATGAATACTTTCCTTATGCACAAGAAATTTATCATAACCAAAAAATAGAAATAGATTTTGCCAATTATAACCAAGGAATTCATATTGATTATAAGTGATGCTGTCAGCTCCAAGTGATGCTACAATGTATTGCCAAATAGTTCATGGTTTGAGGTTACTGAGGAAAGAATTCCTATTTGATTATAATCATTGGAAAAAAACTGGAGACTTGTAATACCATCTGTAGGGTTTGAGACAAGGAATCAGTTAGGGAGGAATGAAAGTGTTGCCTTGCTACAGTGAGTTGAGCCCAGCTGAAGTTGGATAACAAGAATTTAAAATTAATCTAGTTGGCAAGGTTGTATGATGGCTTCCTGCTCCATCCAACAGCTTCAATAGGATGGTAGGAACAATCCTAGGGATGTATTATGGGGAGTTATGAGATGCAAGAGTAGGGGACAGTGCAGGGTTGAATTAACTAACTTTGGGGTCAAGATTGGGAAGAGAAAGGAATGAAGTCAAACCAAGGGAGAAGGTTTGACAAAGTACTAATAGCTGGGGGGAGCTGGGGGAAGCAATAAAGATAACAAAATGGATTTAGGAAGAGTGAAGCATAGGCCAAAATACAATGATAGAAGGTTGTGGCAAATAGAGGTGTGTCAAAGATTTAATTTAAGAAGTGGAACACTTAAGGGGAATGGTGAGATCCAAAGCATGAACATACCTTGGAATAGCTGAAGTGGAATAAGGGAATAGATTATGGGATTTAAGGAGCTTATGAAATTTGAAAGAGCATTAGTATGCATGTGTATGTACCCTAATATAAGGGTGGGTGTTGGAGAGTAATGGAAAATATTGAGACAGGTGATGTACTCCTTGAGAAAAAAAGAGAAATGACACAGGAGTCCGTGTGCAGCATTGGAGTTAATTATTTTCTTGAAGCAAATAAACCAGCAAAAAAAGGACATCTCCATTCCCTGAGTCTGGTTTGTATGCCCCCTCCTTGACCTTTTAAGACAGGGAGATTCTCAAGGAACGATGGCATCTCTTTCCCCTTTTTGTCACCAAACACTTGATTAGGCCTTCAGATTGCTCAAATGCATTTAACTTTTTAGGCTTATTTTGTTCCTTTTGATCATATTTCAAAGATCATATCCAGGTCTGGCTTTCCAAGTAGGAATGCTTGAAAGGCCTCTATTCTATTAAAAATCCATTTTTACTGCCTGTGGAGTTATTCTCAGTTTTGCAAGATAGCTTAATATTGGTTCAGACGTTTTTCTTTCACTGCTTGGTATAATATACTCCTTTTATTTTCTTTTTTTGACAGTAATTACTGCATAATCAAGTAAGATCCAGACAACAGTATTTTGGTGGTGGTGGTAGTGGTGGTTGGGTGTGTGTGTGTGTGTGTGTGTGTGTGTGTGTGTTTCTCTCTCTGCATCTTTGTCTCTGTGTCCCTGTTTCTTTTTCCCTGCCTCTTTCTCTATCTCTCTGTCTCTCTCTGTGTTTGTGTCTATCTGTCTCTCTCCCTGTCTCTGTCTGCCTCTCTCTCTCTGTCTCTCTCTCTCTCTTTATCTCTCTCTTCCTGCCTCATCTGTCTCCTGACTACTTGCAGCACTTTTCTTTGACCCAGACCCTATTACTTTTGGCCACCAAATGGCTAAGTGTGCTAAATTTCTGGTTTCTTCCAAGCAATGATCCAAGGATTCTATTTCCCTTTTTTTCCTCTGGTTCTAATACTTCTATGAAGTTTTCTTATTTTCTGAAAAACAGTACCCGGGGCTTTACTTTGGTTGTGGTTTTCTGGAGGTCAAATGATTCTTAAATTACTCTCAGTTTATGGGAAACTATTAGTATCCAAATAGTTTAACGAAAATTAACTTCAAGGGTAAAGTACTGACTTGAAATAGGAAAAGGATCATGAGTGTTTAAAGTGATACTAAAGAAATGAAGGAAGGCACAAGCCTAGCACTCATGGATTGACATGTGAACTAGACTAAAAAATCCAATAAATGTCATCGTATGAATTGTTCCTAACTTCACTAGGCATCAGTTCTTAGAAGTCTTCCCAGTTTCCTCTGAAACTGTCAATTTTGTGCTTTCTCAGGGCACAACAGTATTCCATCACATTCACATACCACAATTTTTATCCATTTCTCAGGAGGTTAAGGAGCTTTTAGTTTCCAGTTTTTAACTATAACAAAGAGTGGCACCATGAATGTGTGTGCATTCACACACACACACACACACACACACACACACACACACACTTTGTTTCATTGATCTCTTTAGGTGATATTCCTAGTAATGGTATTATTAGGCCAAGATATATAAACAGTTTGGTAACTTTAAGGGTATTGTTCCAAATGGCTTTCAAGAAAGGTGGTACCAAACCATAGCTCCACCCACGGTTCACTAGTGTACCTGTTTTCTGATTGACTCCCCAACATTTCTCAAAAATTTACAACATTAATAGAAGCAAGAAAGGAAATTTTATTTTGCTTAAATGAAAAGCAGGCAATGAGCCAAATTCAATAGTAAACATTTATGTACCAGATGGCTCAGCTTCAAAACTCACAAAGGAATAGTTAACTAAAAAAAAAAAAGATATAGGTAAAGCAGAATCATAATAGGAAAGTTAATATTCCTCTCTCAAAACATAATGAAATTTAAATAAAATTGAATTAAAAAGGAAATGGTGAACTAAAGAAACTATTGGAGAATTTAGAGTTGAAATACTTATGACAGCCTCTGAATGGGAAGAGTTAGGTGGCTAAGTGGATAGAGCCATGCCTGGAGTCAGGAAGACCTAAAAGCAAATCCAGCTTTTACTGGCAATGTGACCCTTGGGGATTTAGTTAATATCCATTTGTCTCAGTTTCTTCATCTGGAAAGTGGAGATAATAATAACATCTACCTCTTAGGGTTGTCGTGATGGTCAAAAGGGGTATATGTGCATAGCACTTAATACAGTGCCTGTCACATACTTAGCACTATGTATACATTAGCTATCATCATCATCATTAGAACTCTACAACCCAATGTTTGATACATCTTCAAAAATTGTTACTGAGGAAACAATTCCTGTTTGATTAGAACTGTTGGGGGAAACTGGACTGGAAAACAGGATTCTGGCAGAAATTAGGCTTCGATCAATATCTTATACTACATTCAATAATAAATTCAAAATAGGTACATGATTTGAATATTAAAGACCATACCATAAAAATTAGAAAAGAAGCAGATTATATGCCTGTTACAGATATGGGGAAGGGAATGAATTCTTAACCAAAAAAGGAATAGAGATGATTTCAAGAGATAACATAGATAATTTTAATTACATAAAATTTAAAAGCTTTTTCACAAATAAGATTATTGCATCTAGGATGAAAAAGGAGGGGTTGATTGAGAAGACCATATAAAATATCTGGTAAGTGTTTGATATTCAAGATATATAGACAGCTATGAGAAATATATTAAATCAAGCCATCGCCCAATAGAGAAGTAGTCAAATGATATGAATAAACAATTATCAAAAGAACTGGAGATTATCAACAACCACATGAAAGAATTTTCTGTATCACTAATAATAAGAAAAATGCAAATGAATACAATTCTCAGGTTTCACCTCACCCCCTACAAATCAGCAAATATAGAAATTATCAATATTAGAGGAGATGGAGAAGTATGAACACGCTGGTACATTGTTAGAGCTGTGAATTGCACAATTTAGAAAAGCATTTTGGAAACAAAGAAAGTAACTAAAATATCCAGAGATTCAACAGGTGGGGATAGGACATCATTGACAAAAAAGGCAGAGTCCATATATACCAGGATATTTATAACAGTACATTTTTGGTAGCAAAGAACTGAATTGAAAATAGATGACTATTGTTTGGGGAATAGCACCAAATGGTGGCAATGAATATAACAGAATAATAACGTGGGGTAAGAAACAACAAATATGATAAATACAGAGAAACATCGGGAAATTTACCTGATCTAGTACAGAGTGAAGCGAGCAGAGACAAGATAACAATGTATTCAATGACTGCAGCAATGTAAATGGAACAACCATAAAATAATCCAAAATGGAAGATTTACAGTTTCAAAGAGTAAGCATGGCCCCAAAGAAGAGATGGGAAAAGACACCTCACCATTCTTCTGCAGAAGTAAGAGGTACATTGGGTGCAGTGATGCAAGGAGGCAGATATTCAGTCAGCATAGGAGAGTAAAAGGTGGCAGGCATCCATCCTAGTGAAGAGGTTCCTTTGCATTGTGATGTATGAGTACTTTTCTTGTACTGTGATCACAGATAGCAATGCTGGTGAGTAACTAGATGTAGGATGAACTCTTCCGATATGACTGAAAGCTGTTTTTCTATCTGAAGAGGCTGCTCTTCAATGGGAAGTTGTAATAGGGAGTGCAGGATGATTGAGGTGGAACTATTCACCTGTTGGGTAAAATATTTAATACATTTAACTAATACTGACCAGGTCTGATCTATTTGCTAATTAGAGGCTTATTTGCTATGTGATACGATAAAGTATCAGATGATATTGTCACGCTGGCAAAAGTCAGATGATAATTGGCAATATCCAGCTAATAACTATATTCTACATTACTGAAGACACATGGGCCCACATAGATGAGAGGCTTCTCTCATTCAAATGGAAAACTGAAGCAAGATCTTGCAGTTACTTTCATAAGTCTATCATTTCAACTTTCTTGCAATGTACATCACCTGCAGCTAGTTCTATTCTTTGGAGATGTGAGATGTCACATCCCATAGGAGCTGTTGGTATTATCTGGTAGATTGCTGATATGTCAGCATGAACTCTTTTACCTGAATCAAAGTTATAACAGAAGTTAATTTTACTGTCTCAATAGATGTTACCACACACACACACAACACACACACACACACACACACAAATTTTTTTAATTCTTTACCTAAAACATTTTTTGAAAAGAGGATTTCTATACATGTAATAGAATACAAAAAATGGTTTCTTCATGAAGCACGAATCTCCAGCTGCCCTGCTTATCCATCCCTCCTTCCAAACTTCCGTATATTTTAAAGATGTATCAGTGTCCTCTTTTTTTCCTCTCCATCCTTAATGATTAACCCACTCTCAACCTCCTGATTAAAAAGGAAAAAAACATATTTGTGACAAGTTAGAATGTTCAAGTAAAATGAAATCACACAATGATGATATTTTTCAAAAATATGTCTTTCTTTACTTAAGTCCGTCACCTTTCTGTTATCAGGAGAGCACCATGCTTCATCATCATAGGTCCTTTGGAAACATTGCTGGTCATCAAATTTCTTAAATCTTTTGAAGTCATTTTTCTTTAAAAATATTACTTTCTATGTATAAATTATTCTCCTGCATCTTCATATGTTATTCTGTGTCAATTGATACCCAGTAGTCTATGAAATTGTCTCTTGTTATTTCTTAGGGTACAGCATATCATACATTCCCCAATTATCTAAGAGGAAGTTTAAGGTACCCTCTTTGATCCCAGTTCTTTACTTTTATTTTCCCCCATTCTACATCTTCTCTAGAACAGAAAATTTGTTTTGCTTGTGACTAATCCCTCTCCATCATCATCCCTTCTCTTAATACTCCCTTCCCTAATCCCACTTCTCTCTCTTTTGAATTTGATGAATTTCTACAAGAAAGTGTCACATATTGAATTACATGTCTTACCATTTGAGTGGGGTGTAGTTGTTGCTGTGTTAACATTAATAATATGAGACATTAGGGTGGTCTTACCGCTATAATTCCATGCATAATAATATGACACTGCAAATATCTTTTTATCCATGAAGTTCATACAAAATGTTCGAACACTTTTGCTTTCTTTTTCCTTTGATGTGACTAGCATAAATCCTCATTAATTTAAATATAATACTCTATATTTATTCAAAGCAAAAGTCAATGCTCCAAATTAATATTCACTAAAAAAAAAAGATGTGAGATTTTACACAGGAAATGAATGCATAGGAGTTTGCTCATTATACCAATGGTATTTGTGGTTACCCTACATGGAACGCCTTTGCTAAGGTTACAGAGATTGTACTGTGTATTTTTTGTCCTTTTCTCTCTTGGGTAGAGAAGAAGTTACTAGAAGATTCAGTCAACCCATCTATTTTAATGTCAGCTTCTATAGCCTTTTAAATGAGAATCTGTAGATCCCGTGTGGAAGGTCTTCATGTTCAATAGCAGCATTTCAGGATATTTGGTAGAATCTTTTTCGGTAGGTTTTTAGATACCCTTCTCTTCTTCTTTGGAGAGAATATTTTAGTCACTGAGGATGAAAGTCTTTAGGCAACTTAAATCTCTTAATAGCATTTCTCCATCTTCTCCAGAAGAATATGATGATGTACATATCTTCTTATCTTCCGGTAATTTTGTCATAAAGAAAAAGAAATGAGATTTGTCTATTATGACCTATTCATAGAAGCGCATTGCCCTTTGGTAACATATGTACATATGTACATACATATATATACATATATATATGTATATATATGTATATATATGTGTATATATATGCATATGTATATATGTGTGTATATATATGTATATATATGTATATATATGTATATATATGTGTGTATATATATGTATATGTGTATATATATGTGTATATATATATATATATATATGTGTGTATATATATATATATATATATGTCTTTGTATATATATATATTTGGTGAGGCAATTGGGGTTAAGTGACTTGCCCAGAGTCAGACAGCTAGTAAGTGTTATGTGTCTGAGGTCACATTTGAACTCAGGTCCTCCTGACTCCAGGGCCGGTGCTCTATCTACTGCACCACCTAGCTGCCCCAGTTACTACTTTCTAAATGTTTTCAAATCATCCTTTTGATGATTCATTAGATTTATCTGTTAGAACATAAATTTATTTCAAGTAGAAGTTGTTTCATTATTTGCATTTGTACCCCCAATCCCTAGCACAAAGCAGTTAGTTAATACTTATTGATTAATTGATCCATTTGAGAATTTTCCTAGGAAATGAAATCAAACTCCCTCAACTATTAGACAACTAGGTGGTACAATGGATAGAGCGCCAGGCCTAGAGTCAGGAAGACTCATCTTCCTTAGTTTAAATCTAACCTCAGATACTTACTGTGTGACACTGTTTGCCTCAGTTTCCTTATCTGTAAAATGAGTTGGAGAAGAACATTGCAAACCACTCCAGTATCTTTGCCAAGAAAACCCCAATAAAGGGTCATGAAGAATCAGACACAACTGAATGGCAAACAATAATGACTGTTCTCTAGTTTGTAGAATTTTCTTTCTTTCTTTCTTTTTTTGGAAACCATTTGCCATCCTCTAGTCTTGTGGTACCTCTCCAATTTTCCATGACCTTTCAGGGTGGCTCAATAATAACATCTGCCAGTTGATTCATTTCCTGAGGATCTATATCATCTGAACCAGGTAACTTGGATTCATCAAGTTCAACTCAGCACTCTCTCATTCTCTCTTTACTTATCTTGAATAGCAATCCTCAGTCATTTTTGTTCTATCATTTCCAAGGTGATAGTCATTCTTCTTTGGGGAGAAAACCAAAGCAGAGTAAAAATTAAGCACCTTTGCTCTCTGTTGTCAGCTATCATTTCATCCAAACTTCATGGAACAAATCCCCTTATTGAAAAGATTTGTTCTATAAAACCTGGACTTAGTCAAAAGGCAACATCCATGGACTTAGAAGGCCACATATGGCCTTGAGACTGCAGGTTCTCCACCCCTGACATGGAGTCTATTTCATGGAGTATGCCTGGGAGGGAGATTCAGGGTTCAAGTCTGTCTCCCAGAAAGCCAGGAATTAACTCTTCTCTTTCCTTCAGACCTGTGTCCCACAGGATCACGCATCTGGTCACAGAGGCTTCTGCATCCCTGATTAGGTTGCAAGTCTGTATCCTAGCTGCAATGAGCCTTGTTACAGTAGTAGCCCTTGGCCTATTCTCAGGTAAGTCCATAGCAGGCTTTCTCTGTTTCTTTTTCCTTCTCAAGCTACACAAGTTGAGGTTTCTTCTCTAGCAGGTCCTAGCAGGTCCATAGAAGATTTTTTCCCCTTTTCTTTTTGATCCCTTCAAGCCTATCTTCAAGCAGAAAGGACATTTCCCTTGGCAGATTCTAGCAGGGTTTTCCTCTTCTTGGAGATATTACATGTTAAGTCTTCCAAGGACTGATACTGTTTGTAGATTACCTAAGCCCTCTGGGTGTCTTCTTCCTTCATTATTCTCTCACTTGGGCAATTTCACTGATGTTATCAAATTTAAGGGAAAACTCACTGAGCTGGAAGGGACCTTGACAGAGATCTACTTTAAAACATTTGTTTTTTACAGATGAAGAAAATAAGGCATAAATAGTTTAAGTGAACAAGTTAGGGATAGATCTGGCATCAAAGCCCGAGTTTCCTCATTCATGGTATATTTTTTTTCAATCTATCAATTAATAATCATTTAAATACTTAATATGTTCTAGCCACTAAATGCACTATACCAGATAATATTAAAATAATATTACTTTATTTATTTTTTAAAGTTTTGGTAAGGATTGCCATTGAAAATAAAGGTTGAAATTAATTACAATGAAGCTTTTTGGATTAGTAGCTGATTTCACTTATCAATGTGTCCCCGCCCCACATCATCACATCTATAAGATTACTTCCTTCTGTTGTGTGGTTGTGGTTACCAGGGAATTTTCTGATTTGCAAGAGAGAGAGACAGAGAGACAGAGAGAGAGAGAGAGAGAGAGAGAGAGAGAGAGAGAGAGAGAGAGAGACAGAGAGAGACAGAGAGAGAGAGAGAGAGAGAGAGAGAGAGAGAGAGAGAGAGAGAGAGAGAGAGAGAGAGGGAGAAAGAGAGAGAGAGACAGAGACAGAGAGAGAGAGAGAGAGACAGAGAGACAGAGAGAGAGAGAAAGAGAGAGAGAGACAGAGAGAGAGAGGGAGAAAGAGAGAGAGAGACAGAGAGACAGAGAGAGAGAGAGAGAGAGAGAGAGAGAGAGAGAGAGAAAGCTCATCTGTGTAATTTAAGTAAACTAAGAGAAAGCTAGTTTTCACTTTTGCAATATATTGGGAAATTAAAGATTTTTTTTGGCTTTGTTCTGTTTTATAAAGAAAAATTGCAATCTATTTTTATAAGTCATTTGGGGGAAATGTCAAAGGCTCATGGAAATGAGGCTTACTCATTTGTATATTTCCTAAGACATTTATCAGACAGTTATTTAATTCAATTACTGAGCATCTACAATGTGTTCAAATCCAAATTTTATAAATTGAATCATATCTCCATTGTACTAGAAGATGTTGCTATTGAAGGACTAGTCTTCCCCAATCCCCCCAGATATTAATGCTCCTTCTATATGTGGTATTCTCCAATGAAATCTGGACTGCTTTAGGGCAGGGATTTTTTTTTTATTACTTTTGGTTTTTTTTTTACTTTGCATTCCCAATCTTACTAGAGTAGATGGTTAATAAATGTTGAATTGATGGATTATTTTGCAATGTTAAGATGCCTTTCATAATGCAAATCACATTCTCTTTTGCTTCCACCAGATTGATTTTTTTTTGTTTTAAAGATCAGATTCCCATATATCCAACTTGCTTAATTCAGAGAACACCTAAAGTTGTAATACCATCTGTGAGAATCTCTTCCCAGTATTTTTTCAAGTTTTAAATGAAATTAAATTTCAACTCAAATTAGAAGACATTTGTAATCAGATACTTTCCATGTGTTAAGCAAGAGAAGAAAAGAAAGACAATCCATGTACTACGGGGAACACTGTGGAATATTAGAAAGAGCCTTAGATTTGTGGGTCAGATGCCATGAGTTGAAATACCAGCTCTGCCACCTATGACTTGTGTGACATTAGCTAAATCATTTTGCCTCTTTGGGTCTTATTTTCCTAATTTATAAAATAAGGAAGATCAGGAGGTATAAATTAGATAAAATATAAGGTCCCTCTTAATTCTAACAGTTGTAACCTAGGACTCAAGTCCAGGGGCATTTGCATAAAACTCTCCTCAGTGATGGAGAGAATGATTCCTTGATGGACCATGTCTGTGGAAGGGAGATTCCTTGAAGTACCGTGCTTGGGAGAAG